TAAAACACGGAAGTGGAAGAGCTGTCCATGCATTGACCAATCACACAAGAGCTCACAAACACCAAGAAATATTTGTTGTTGTACTTAACAAAGGGGTTTGGCACTAAAAACAATGGAACGTTTATAGGCTTAACGTTGGATTTAGATCGTGTTATAATCCAAATCCCCCACTAAGACTTGTAAGCACCAATTTTCATATGTTTACAGGAATAACAGATGAAAAACATATTTTCTAAAATTATAAGCAAAAATCTAATTCATTCACAGATTATTTCACCTTCTTTCAAAGTTTCATATGTATTGGGACACACTGAATTATAGATAAGTTATAGCACATAACTGATTCCATGTTATGCAACAACTCCAAATTTATTTGATAAAGGGGGCATATTAATGCAACTGCATAACATTTCTTGATAACTAAATTTTTTACAATGTAGATTTAACTTTTAGATTTGTGTCATCCTAACTGTCTCTCTTAGTTGTATTTACTAGTTCAGGTTTCAAATTCAAATATTAGTTTTTGTTATGCGTGTACTAGTATGCTAATTCAACTTGTATGTCTTGACAGATCCCGGCAAATGGAAATGCTGATGACATTTTTGCAGAAGTTGAAAAAGTACTTAAAGAGGCTGGGTACACTGCTGTAGAAGCAGCTAAAGAGGAACCATCAGAAGAGAAACAAGATGAAACAAAACCAGAGGAGGAAGTGAAGATTGATGAAGAAACAAAAATAGAAGATGAAACAATGCCAGAGGAAGAGGCAAAAATCAGTGATGGAGAAAAGACAGAAAAGGAAATGAAGGAAGATGATGAAGCAAAAGCAGAAGTAGAGGGCAAGATAGAAGAAAAAGAAATAGAGGAAGAAACAAAACCTGAGGAGAAAACAGATGAGGCAGTTGCTGAGGAAAGCAATGATGTAAAAGAGGAGAATGAAGAGAAAAGTCCAGCAGTAGTAGCAGAAGAAAGCAAAAATGCAACAGAGGAGAATAAGAAGGAGACAGAAAAGACAGAAGAAGAAGAAGAAGAAGAAAAAAAAGATGAGGAAAAAGCAGAAGAGGTTAATGAGGAAGGAGCCAGTGAAGAGAAGAAAGCTGTAGATGAAGGAGAAGAGAAAATAGAAGAAACTAAATCTGAAGAGCCAAAAGATGAAAAAACAGACGATGTTCCAAAACCTAAGATCCTCTTTGTCACAGGTTAGTATTTGCATTATTGTTGAAGTGGCATCCTCAGATAGTAGCACGTTCACAGATTAAGTGCTGACTATGCAATTTGAAGTGTCTGTGAAACACTACTCAAATGTCTTGAATCAATAATTTTGTATATGAATAGTATTCTTTAGGCTAGTTTACCTGTCTGAGTACAAAATAAATATTTTTAAATTAGTGAAGAAAACAGATTTCAAAGTCTGCATTCACTGTCAGTTATGTAATGGATTTATATAAAGGCTCCTAATTTGCATACAAGAAAAACACCTGGAAATATAGGCATGGATTTCTGATTCTCAACTTTCTCAAAAAAATTTTATAAAAAGATTGCCCAAAAATATTACTGTAACACTGTTTTTCAAGTACTGTAAAAATTGATTCATTCCCAGTCTTTATCAATTGTCAGACCCAGTCAGCAGTATTCATGTACCAATGAACACAAATAGTCAGTGACCACATTGTTCTGTGTTGCATAAAAACTGGCATTATGTTTTGGTGAAAATTCATTCAATTATGTTATATAGTAGAACACACAAAGTGTGGGAGAAATTTGTAGTACAATTCTGTATTTTACATTAATTATAATAATCATGAAAAAGTCCTACATAGAACACTTTAATTTGGAATTACAGAGCCATTCAAAAACATTATTCTCTATCAGCAACACCCCCCCCCCCCTCCAAATGTCATTGCTCTGTCATACATCATCTACTGTTAAACAAACAAAACTTTATACTGACCACTTGAGGGTGCTATAAAAAGATGTTTTTGTGATTTTCCCTTCAAGTTAAAACATGATTATGATTATTTGTAAGGTGGATCTGGTGCTGGTAAGGCTGATCTAGCCAGTAAAATTGCAGAAGAGTTCAGCGGTGTTCATGTATCAATTGGTAAACTACTAAAGGATGCAACAGAGGAAGAATCAGATGAATCTAAAGAAATTGAGACATCAATGAAGGAGGGAAATCTTGTATCTCTCAGTATCATCATGAATATCATCACCAAATTTGTTGACAAGAATTCAACTGCAAGTAGTATAATTATTGATGGATTTCCCAGGACAGTGGAACAAGCAGTTGAATATTCAAATAAGGTAGGTATACTAAATAATGATATTATTATTTATTGTAAAAGCAAATAAACTTAATGTGACAGACAAATATATGCAGCTATATATACCAGTACAAGATACAAGACAAGCTTTAACTATGTTTTCTATGGCTTCAGTATTACGTATTACATTACTGAATACAATTTGGTGGGCGATTTCTATAGTGAAGGAAACAAGTGAAAGTTATCGGTTACTGTAAAATTTAAAGTCTGGTGTCTGAAACATTGAGTAAATTTTGCTGTTGCTGTGAATATTAATTGATTTCATTATCTTATAACCAAAATAATAAGTTTTTATGACAGCAAGCATATATGGTTTTATTGGAGATGGGTTTTTTTAATTTGTGTCATTATTATGTTGATAAATGTACATAACTGCTGCTATATAGATCTTTCCTTCAAATATTTACTGTATTTGCTAGTAATTACACATTTATGTCTTTGTCAAAATTATTTGAATACAATTTTTGGTTCATGTAATTTCTTCATTATTTTCCTCTAGTACTTAAATCAAAGTTTTTTTCTGAGCTTTCTTTGATCTCTATTTTCACAAATATATATTATTTTTCAAGATTGGTTTTCCAGAGTTAGTTTTAATGATCGATGGTGATGTGGAGGAACTGGAGAAGAATGTGACAGAAAGAGCAGAGACAAGTGAAAGAGAAGACGACAAAGGGGATGCTCTAAAAAATAAACTCAATGTGTACAAAGACAATGCACCATCATTGATAGAACATTTAGAAAATCAAGAGAAAGCCAAAAAGGTCAGTCTGTAGTATTAACAGGTATTCATAATACATATAGCTTCTTTTTTATTTCTTCTATATTTTCAGTTATCAGATGATAATAAAAAACATTTGTTTTACTTTAGGTTTCTTTGAAGGAAAAGTCTGAAGATGTTGTGACTATGTTGAAGACATTGAATATTTTCTCACAGTGATCAAGCCCCATTGCAGAGGCTCACATTGCCATTCTTGTATATATCAATGTATTTTAGGGAGAGTAAATCATGATGTTGAACACACCAATTGATTCTTATTCATACTTGGGGGCTTCAGGCTAAATGTGTAATAAGGCCATGATCAAAGGGTCAACTCACTTCAGTTGAACTTAGACATGAATCATCTTGTACATAATTCAGGGTATATGCAACTCTTATTTTAATCTGGGATTTGTAAAAAGTTTTATAAAATAAGTCAACAGTTGTATTAGTGCAACCATTGATAAATCATAAATGTATTCTGTAGTTGTGCCAAAAACTTTTTATAATTATTGAGCAATTCTTTTCTAATTCAAAAATGTCCAGTAATGCAAAAAGAGGAACTATGGAGGGGAGTTTTGCAATTTATAGCAATGCAAACCATAGCTGGATTTATACAAGATTAGTCATGTTATTATGATATCTGTTTTTTTTATCAGTTCAATGTTTTCCATTTTTAAAAGAAATTTACATAGTGCATTGTAAATAATATACTGCATTTCAATTAATCATGTGAGGCATCACCATGGTTACATGTATTTAGTTGAGCCCACAATGACAGATTTTGTTATTAAATGATCTAAACTGGCAATACTGCAAAAGTATTTATCCTATCCAGCTATTTATCTAACCTGTTTCTCATACAGAAATTGTCTTTTTCTGTCATAATTGCAATAATGGGTCTTGTAATTTGAAAGTGGTGGTGGTCAAATTATGTTTAAGACCAATTTTATTTCAAATTGACTACAACTGTTTATTTACATGACAATTAGCAGTTCTCCCCTAAATATTATTGGTAACGTGCCAACTTGAAATATATCGTCATTGATTGAAGGTGAAGAAACTTTTAATTAATTTTTAACTTTTTAGAAATAAAAAAGCGTACATAAATGGTATTACAATTTGTACATAGTATAGATATTTTTGTACATGCTGAGTACCTGTAATTGTGTGATGTAAAAATTATTATATACTATACAGCAAATAAAGGCATGATAACATTTTAAAGTCTTGCTGAATACCAATTTTTCAAACATAGGAGTGGAGAGATTGCCCGGGACTGAATGTCAGGTAGGCAGCCAGTATTCAGATATCTTACATACTCCACAAGAAACTTCCCTCATTCATCATGTTGTGTGCATTATATTCTATCACCATTTGTATTTACCAGAGAAAACATTGTTTAAATACAAAAGTGTCAGAGATATCCAAATTATAAGCCCCCTTTCAAACTCTGATATGACACCGTGCAATAATAACTAGAATTACAAAAGAAAAATTTATCTAGTCATGGTTTATTAACAAAGTACAAATTAATGACATCTAAATTTATGCATTAATAACAAATTTTAAAGGCGATTTTAATATACACCAGTCCCAGGAAGTACTTTTCATAGTGATCTGACCACCAGACATACATGACTGAAATCCAGTTCCATGATGACATAAATGCTTGATTTTGATAAATTGTTAGCACTAAAATGGCTACCATTCAGCCATCTAGAATTGGATCATGAAACAAATGCATACACATATGTATGCTATGATGTGTGTGTGAATTTTGAATGTAATCAGCCCAGGCATGTCTGAATGCAAACAGATGGACACACACATGTGAAAATACAAGTCCCAGTATTCTGACTACGTCTGAAGGGCAACTTACAAAGTGAAAATATTTGAATGGCAAATATCATTCTAGATTTATTCTGTATGGAATGAAAAACATTTTTATTTTGGTGCTAAGTCAGTCAAAATAATAAGGCAGTATATTTAAAAGAAACAAGTCATTGTCAATGACACGTCCCCGTTCCGTTCATATTCGAGTGACATATACATTCAAAGCAGATCATGACCGAAATGCACCTGTATATGTACAACACATTGTACTAAATCTGAACAAAATCCATCCATGCATGACTGAGATCCGGTTACGGAATTGTGAAAATGTGCGATTTCAATGCATTTTCGGCCTTAAAATGGCCATCATTCAGCTATTGTTAAGCGGATCATGAAACAAATGCACATACATACTTGTGACATGATGTACCTTGTGTGTGTGAAGTTTGAACTCAATCAATCCAAGCATGTCTCCGATACGGATCCAGAACTGAATTCTTTAAAACAAAATGGCCGCCAGTCGGCCATTTCAAACCCTATTATGTTTAAATGTATGTACCAAATTTGAACAAAATCCGTCCATGCATAACTGAGATCCGGGTCCGGAATGGTGAAAATGTGCGATTTTGATGCATTTTCGGCCTTAAAATGGCAGCTATTCGGCTATCGTTAATCGGATCATGAAAAAAATGCATGTGCACATGTCCCATATAATGTGTGATGTATGAGTGAAGTTTGAACTTAATCAGTCCATGCATGTTCGAGATACAGGTGATCACGGACCTGCACGGACGCACATAGGGCAAAACATAAGTCCCTGTTTTCAGACTATGTCCGAACGGGGACGAATGAAAAAAAATATACCGTACTTCCCTGAGTATAAGACCAGGGCCTGAACATGTAAAATCAGGAAAATTAGGGGGTGGGCTTATACTCAAGGACCACCTCAGAAAAGATAATTTTTTGGGGGGTTTAAAATTGTAACCCTCTTCCCAACCTTGAAAAATCATCAAAATTACATTTTTCGTTCACAGCGCCGTTCTCGGAGAAATACTACTAAATATTATTAAATGGGTAGGGTCTGTGGGAAAACTGTTGAAGGCAAGATCTTTATCATTATCTTTCGTTGTGGAATGTTTTTGATCGCTCGCACACTCTCGATACAAAGCAATTTCCGCCATGGTGTTTTTCAACAGGAAAATATGTGGTATGTTAGTCATATGTCAAATGCCTCCATTATAGCACTTAGTTGCATGTCCTTGGCTGAAACAGTGTTTGATACATTACACACATCGTATTAATGAGGTTACATGTTCCAATTTATACAAGGTGGGTAATTAATATACATGGATTTCTACCCTTAAGTTATCAGAGCTGTGGATTATCCAAAAGCACTTATGTATCAAGTTTCAGTGGAATTTGATGAGTGGTACTCAAGATATCTGTATA